GGGGGGGGGGGGATGGGCTCCCGGGGGGGGGGGGACCCCGCCAGGGGGGGGGGGGGCAGGGAGGCTGGGGGGGGGGGGATTAACATGGCATTTACATCTCATTAGCATTTAATTCATCCTTCGGTGGGGGAAGGGGCTCCGGGGGGCTCAGGTTGCCCAGGTGGGTCCCGAGGTTGCCCAGGTGGATCCCGAGGTTGCCCAGGTGAATTTTGATGTTGCCCAGGTGGATCCTGAGGTTGCCCAGGTGGGCTCTGAGATTGCCCAGGTGGGCTCTGAGATTGCCCAGGTGGATCCTGAGGTTGCCCCATGTGCCTCCGAGCTCGCCCGGGAGTGGCCGCTGCCATCGCCCAGGTGGGCGCTCAGGTTGCCCACCTGGAGCCTGAGCTGGCCCAGGTGGGCGCTGAGGTTGCCCAGCAGGGCGCTCAGGTTGTCCAGGTGGGCGCTCAGCTTGCCCAGGAGGGCGCCCAGGTTGCCCAGGTTGGCTCTGACGGCGCCCAGGTCGGCGTCAGGGTTGTCCAGGTAAAGGTTGAGGTTGCCCAGGTTGGCTCTCAGGTTGCCCAGGTGGGAGCTGAGGTTGCCCAGGTAGATCCGGAGGTTGCCCAGGTGGTGCTGAGGTTGCCCAGGTGGGAGCTTTGGTAGCCCAGCGCTCTCCGACATTGCCCAGGTGGATGTGGAGCTTGCCCAGGTGGAGCTGAGGTTGCCCAGGCGGAGCTGAGGTTGCCCAGGTGGTGCTGAAGTTGCTCAGGTGGGCACTGAGGTTGCCCAGGTGAATGTGGAGCTTGCCCAGGTGGATTTTGAGGTTGCCCAGGTGTGTTCTGGGGTTGCCCAGGTGGGCTCTGAGGTTGCCCAGGCGGAGCTGAGGTTGCCCAGGTGGATCTTTGTTTTGCCCAGGTGCACCCTGGGGTAGCCAAGGTTGATCTTGGCGTTGCCCAGGTGTGTTCCGGGGTTGCCCAGGTGGATCCCGAGGTTGCCCAGGTGGATCCTGAGGTTGCCCAGGTGGATCCCGAGGTTGCCCAGGTGGATCCTGAGGTTGCCCAGGTGGATCCTGAGGTTGCCCAGGTGAATTTTGGGGTTGCCCAGGTGGGTCCCGAGGTTGCCCAGGTGGATCCCGAGGTTGCCCAGGTGGATCCTGAGGTTGCCCAGGTGAATTTTGAGGTTGCCCAGGTGGGTCCCGAGGTTGCCCAGGTGAGTCCCGAGGTTGCCCAGGTGGATCCTGAGGTTGCCCAGGTGGGCTCTGAGGTTGCCCAGGTGAATTTTGAGGTTGCCCAGGTGAATTCTGGGGTTGCCCAGGTGGGTCCCGAGGTTGCCCAGGTGGATCCTGAGGTTGCCCAGGTGAGCTCTGGGGTTGCCCAGGTGCCTCCGAGCTCGACCAGGTGGCCCCGCCCCCCCTCCCCCCAATGGCCGCAGCTGGTTTTTGGGGTGGGGGCGGGGTCGTCCCGCCTCATTAAACCTAATGAATATGCAAATGAGGCGGCTGGCGCCGGCGGGTGACAAACGACCCCGGGGGGGGACACACAAGCGCCCCTCCCCCCCCGGGGGTCCCCGAGCCTCAGCTGGGGGGGGGAGGGGCCCTTCCCCCACCGCCCCTCCCCCACCGCCCCTCCCCCCCTCCAGCAATTCCCAAATTTTTTGTGTGGAAAAAACCCAAAAATTTATTT